TTAAGTAAATAAAAAAAAAAAAATTTTTTGACCGTCTGTGAAACGAGATATTAACAATCAAAATGTGCATAATTAACACTCTTGAAGCCTCTCATGTACACAAGTAATGCATTTATTTCAAGATATCTCTAAAACGGTTCTTACCATATTTTTTTAAAAACTAATGTAATGTAAATCAAGAAGTTATAAAATTTTCTAAAGAAAAGCTGAATTTTTTGACCATCTTAGTAAAAAGATTTAGATTTTTAAAATAAAAATATTTTTAAAGCAATCGACGCGTAGTTCCGTAAAATCATTACAACTTGGCAACGTTATATACGCTGCAATCAACGCGTTGTACCAACATAACACTCGATCAGCTAAGAGGATGTTATAACCTCGCGACGTTTTCTTGATAAATTAATTCGTCCACTGTATTTGAGAACTGGAATCAGCGGTTCTGTTTGAACCAAAACAAACCCTTAAAATTAATAGGAGGAAGTCACAAATTTCTATAGCAAACCATTAATGTATTTATGAGGTTGCCGGATGGATTTTATTAAAATCCATATATATAAGCTTACATGTGTTTTGTACAGTCTCTTACAAAAATAAAATTGATTAGCATTGAGAATCTCGAACTATTGGCACAGCTTATACAATACAGCTCCACAACTCCGTGTCGGCGTCTTTGATCTGGCGGTCGAGAACCAAGCAAGACGGAATGGTGCTATCTCTGTTAGATTCGAGGGAAAAGTCGGGCCCGGATTAAACAATTTTTTTATTATTGAAAAAATTGAAAACCTTGGCGTAATAAGGTTGGTTACATGCCATATTAAGTAAGTTTTGGGAAATTAAATTTTTAATTTGTTATAAATCTGTCAAATATAATTAGAAACATTATTTAAATATAAATATTACGAAAAATAGCACATCTTTCGGATTAGAGGTAAAATAATTTGTATGTGGCTAGTAAAATCCTCGTTAACAAATGTTTTGAGCTAAAACAGTCACTTCACGACAAATTGTGGCTTGGATCCTTTTTACACCAAGGGCTTCAATTGTTAAAGAATTGTGTCACGCTCGTGGATGCAAATCAAGTGGCAAGTGTTACTCTTCGCGCAAAGGGTTTATACCTAGATAAACGAATGCTTCGACTGAGGTCTGGGAACTCTATGGTATTTTGGAATTATAAAGAATTTGTGCTTTTATTTTAACAATATTGGTTATATTTAGATGTATTCTTATTAATTGAAATACAGATTTGTAGAAGTAATACTTTGACAGTTTTTATTAATATAATATATTCAATTTTTATCTGACCATACCGAAGTAGGGAATTTTGAAACTTTATAGTAATGTGAGATTTGAATTACAATATTACACGATATTACATAATTAGTACTTATTTTAGGTAGGTACTAAATTTGTACTTGGAGAAAGTAATATCGATTTTTACAAGAAAACTTGAAAAGTAAATTAATTTAGTTCCTATTTCTGATGTAAAACTTAAGTTTTGGTTTAAACCAATAAAACAAATAAATTATAGTTTGTTCAACAAGGGTGGATATGATAGCAATATCACACAAAGACGAAGTTTGAGCACGACGTCGTATACGGAGTACTCAATCGTCTGATTGTGATATGAACAATCCACTCGATATGGTCAGTATATTTTTTCTACGACCCACTAACGAAAATCTACAAATTTAAAAAATTATTTTAGGTTATTTAGACAAAATAACTAATTTTAAAATAATTTACGAAGTTGACTAATTTATAAAATAAAATTAACATGAAAAATTAATTAGTCCTCGGCCTAGATTCGATCCCGGGCTTTTCGCGTGGAAGGCAGATGCTCTTACTCATCTTCACCGAAACTTTTAGGACTTTAGTTTTAATACTCGTTATTAAATTAATTAATTAATTCTAAAAGTGTGGTACAAATGTTATTTTTTGTAGCCAATTCTTCAAAATTATTTTGAAATATCTTTTCAATATTGAATATTAGTTCTACAAATTCATCATTTGACAGTTGCAGATTTCCAAATGTATCTGGATTGGCGTTATCATATGCCTTTAAAAAGCAATAAAAAGAAAAATCATCTAATTCAACGTGATCTTTGTTATATTTAAGACAGGTATCGCAGAGGAGTGGATCCGCAAGGCTTTTATTAAAAGGTAACCACACACATACCTGATAAAATTTTTCTGTATCAATTCGTCTTTACAATAATTTAGGGTGTTAATAATTTTATCATAAAATAAAATACAAGGTGTTCCATTTAAAAAACATACATTTTAATTTGCCAGGCAAAAACGTAACACCCTGTATATCCAAAGATATTTTTAAAATATGTAGGTAATTTTCAAATCCATATAACTTTTATTTAAAACATTCTTGCGTGTCTACAACAAAATAATGAACAATAACGCACTAATGGGATACCCTGTATAAATTATATTTTTAACAATGAAAATTTCTTATAATGTAAAACTTATCGGTTTGGGTCCTTGGGAAAACTAAAGAATGTTTTCTTGCAGGTATAACCCTTATTAAAACAGCTTTTGACTGCACAAACAGAATGATGTCTTTTTTTTTCACTCATTCTACTCATAGCTAAAGAGTCACCAAAATAATAACAGTACCTTTAACTCAAACAAAATCAACAAAATTATAAGCTCCACGAAATTATACAATCAACGAAATTATAGGCTCCACGAAATTATACAATCAACGAAATTATACGCACGACTCAACACCTTACCTAAGTACGCTTCTGAACACCAAAACCGTCTTTTCCCTTCGAAGGCGGAGCTTAAGCGATGCGCGACGAAATCGACGCAAACCGTTGCCGCCAAGAGAGTGTTTTAGCTGTATTGTATAAGCTGTGCTATTGGTATTCACCATTAAGCGTTATTTTTATGTACGACTGTCGCGAGTGAACTACCTTAAACAAAGTAAGTACCAAAATTGTTTTGTTTACAGATTTATTTCGAAAAAAAGAAGATAACAAAAGGGTTTAGAAACCGGTATGAGTTAAGACTCATAGGAAGTAAAACTTTTAAAGTAATTGTTTGTTTTTGCCGATTAAGTTCGGAAAATTACAAAAAAATATTTAAACACCTGCGTACTTTGGTAAAATACTACCTAAGTGGTTATGAAACAAAATAATAGTAGTTAAAAATAAACAATAGAATAAAGTAGTGTAAAGTGATAATATCCAAGTTAGCTTATTACAATGATGATAGGCTTATGTTTTGGAAAAGACAAATCATCAGCAATTCAAGTTAGTTTATTTATATATGAGCTTGAAAAAAAAAACAGAATCAATGGGAAAAACATTTGAACAAGTTCGTTGTTGTATTTTGTATTTTGCAATAGTCTTGTTTAAAATATATTTTTTTTACTACTAACATGAGAAATCACCATTATTTACTCCATTCCTCTAATGAGAAGTAATATTTCTCTCCCTGGGTAAATAATGATAATAAAAAAAAACCTAGGTAAATAATGAAACTAAATTTCATTAGTTTCATTTTGTTAATTTGACAACTAACCTCCCAGACTACTTGATATTTTGAAATATTTGAAAAATAAGTAGGAAATAACTAAAGCTGGGTTTATTAAAATCTAATCAAATCAAATATGATAATATATATCAGTGTTAATAGTAAAAATATATATTAACTAGGAAATTCAACACCGGCTTTAAAAATTATTAATTAATAACAATAAATCCATGTCATTAAAATATCAAAAATGCAATGGGATATTTCCTAGAATCATACCAAAATTTGACACATGCCAAATTTTTACATAAATAAAGCCAGTCTGATTAGAAACACGCTCCAGTCTGCTTGATATTTCGAAATATTTAACAAATTGTTAGGAAATTACCTTAGATAAAAGAGACCAGAGATGTTACATATACCGGTATTTGTGCTGCGCGAATGTTGCCAATTTCTAAAGAAAGGTTAACGGAGTGGGGGAACTGGGAGGAGATTCGAAGTCTGTGACAGGGGCGGACTTGGTTTATTAAAAACACGATGAACTATTAGATATACTTAAAAGATGTTTAAATGGAATGTTTTATTATGAAATAAAATTAATGTGATTTTATTAATATTAAACAGAAGCAACGATATTTTATTCTAGTCTCTTGCGGCAATGTCCGTAGTGACTAAATGCTAACGAAATATTCTATAATAGAAAACAAAAGTTCTTTTATAGAATATTTCGTTATCATTTAATTTTTCCACAAGATACTACAATAAAATGTCAAAATATAATATCGTTTACGAGCAAAAATGGTACTCATTGTCTACCAGTATTATATTTGCAGCATGTGCAGCAGGAGAATATTGTAAATAGGAAGAGTAAGAAATGAGGATTCCTTGTGAGCTGAACATGTTTTTTTCTAAGGCTAATACATATTAAAAATTGAGTTGCGACAACACTATAGACTGTAGATAAGGGTATATTACATACGTTTAGACGATATCTTTCCTACAGACTTATGTGAAAAAGGGATGCAAAAGTAAATATATATTTTTGGGTGTCGTAATAAGAGAGAAAAGGGTCCAGAAATCAAACTCAAAATGTATTATTATGTTGTTTATTGTATTATTTATATAAAAAAATAAGTAAAACAATAAATAAATAGTAAATACAAAAAAATGAAGCAAGTTATAAAACCAAAGAGAGAAAGAGAGAAGGAGAGATAGAAAGAGAGAGAGAGAGAGAGAGAGAGAGAGAGAGAGAGAGAGAGATAAAGAGATAGAGAGATAAAGAGAGAGATAAAGAGAGAGATAAAGAGAGATAAAGAGAGAGATAAAGAGAGATAAAAAGAGAGATAAAGAGAGATAGGGAGATAGATAGAGAGATATGCAGAGATAGTGAGAGATGCAGAGAGAGTGAGAGAGTGCAGAGAGAGTAAAAAGTATGTTCTGTTACTTTTTAAGATTATTTAGAAATACACGAGATTTACCAAATGACAACATAATTTACTATTACTTACCTTCTGTTTCTTTCGTTCAGGAGATTGAGGGGGTGTTTTTTCGTGATAATATTCCAAGCTAGTTTGAGAGTTTGAAGTACTAGCCTGTAAGTAAACAATATGTTCTTTCACTCTTTACGATTATTTAGAAATAAACGAGATTTGCCAAATAACATAATTCAATATAGCTTACTTTATATTTCTTTCGTTCAGCAGATCGAGGGGGGGTTTTTTGGTGATAATATCCCAAGCTAGGTCTTGATTTTGGAGGCAGTTCTATAAGCTTTCAAATTAATAAATATTAAATTAAAATATTTTGAATAAGCACCTAATTAAAAATAATTCCATGATTAATACATATTTATTAAAAATTACCTGATTGGGTATAGCAATTTTTTTCAAATGTAGAGCAAAGGGAGATTTTTTATAATCAAATGAATCATCACTAAAATTGTAGTGGCATACACGGGAAGTGCTAAAAACATCTTCTTTATTAACATTTATTGCAAGTATCCATTTATCTCTTAAACTTTTTTCTTTTGGAATACTAAAAAATATAGAGTATGTGTCACATACAAAAATATTTTAAAATTTAAATCTAATAAAAGGCGTCAGTCGCTTGCTTTTATCCGAGTATTTATCTTCAAAATTTAGTGATTCTTATTTTTTGATTTCGATTTTTAAATTTTATAATGTAACACTTTATTAACAATATTTTCGACCTACCCCTCGTAACTATAATATTATTTTTTAGCTTATATGTCATATTGAAAGTTTTACTTGGTTTTAAGACTAATAGGCACAAAATTAATTTCAGTTTTGACTGAAAATAGGATGAACTTTTAAATTTTTTGTATATTATCCTGTATTTTATTTAATATTCTTATAAAACTACTTTTTTAAAATCAAAATTTCTTTAGCAACTATGCTTGTTTACTTCTTATGTATGTACCAAAAAGGGCTAAAAACTACCTTTATTAAATATTCTTATAAATCTATATTTTTAAAACAAGATTTCGTTAGTAAATATGCTACTTTACTTTTTATTTTACGCACCAAAAAAGACTTACTACCTACCTTCTGTAAAACTCAATTAAATGTTCAAAATTTTGTCCTTTGGTTTATTTATAACTATAAGTAAGTACTATAAAATATGTTTTCTAAAATATTCGATACGAAATATTTGGAGAAATACCTTAATGCGGATCTGACTAATTCAACATAAAGGAGCATGGCGGTTATGTCAAAATATTAATAATAAATATTTACCGGTGAAAACGAACATATTTCTTATCTTTTATAACATTGGCACTTTTATTATAGGTATATACAATTTTTCACGATACATCGTGGCATTTTGAACCTAAAACTGAATAGGTAGAACACTTTAAATTGTTAATAACACCAACATACAATTCAAAAAACAGCAGTCAATGTCAGTGGTGATTAAACTCAGGGAGGTGAGCGTAGAATAGAAATGACTATTTCGGAGCAATTTGGGTGGCGTCGTAGAAATAATGAATTCCAATTGGTGGGTTACGTGAGGGAGAAACGGACAACATGCGCAGTGTGCAATGTTACATCTCCGGTCTCTTTTATCTAAGGAAATTACTTATGTCAAAATTAAAATTGCTAATACATTAATGTTAGTAGTAAAAAAAATTCTATATATACCTCGGCTGAGAAAGCTATTATTTACCTCGCACATTATATCCCTCGGCGCTACGCGCCTCAGGATATAAAAGTGCTCAGTAAATAATAGCTCACTTCTCACCCTAGGTATATAATGTACTATTAAAATGTACTTAAACATATAATTCGGCAAGTTATATAAAATAAGATGTTAAATTTAAATTAAGCCAACCGATTTAAATATATAATCTGCCAGATCGCTAATCTTTGCAGGCGCATTTCAATTAATTTTACTTACAATAATTAAACACAAACTTGATTTAAATTTATGTCAAATACTATATATTAAATTATATCACGCATTAAATTTTTAGTAAATAAAAGATGAGTGGGCTACCAAGCCTAGAACCTTTCGATTGCGAGGGAGACCCAAGCTCAGTCGGATGGAGATGGGACAAATGGAAAAGAGCATTCGGTATTTATTTGGAGGCCACCAATGTAGACGACCCAAAGAAGAAAAGAGCCCTCATACCACATTCCGGAGGTTTAGCTGTACAGGAGCTGTATTATAACATACCAGGAGCCCATGTAGATCAGCCGTCAGAAGAAGGGACTGTGTTCGAAGTTGCAGTTGCAAAACTGGACAATTATTTCCGCCCCAAGCAAAGTAATCTATACGAGAGGTCATGGGCGTCGTTACACAATTCTATAGGGGGGGGGGGGACAAAATTTTGAAAAAATTTAGTATGTTTATTCATTGAAAAACAAAGAAAATTAAACATAAAAGATAATTTTCTTATGATGGAGTCAATTATTCTGTGACGTCATATCTTACTTCTGGGTTTTCCAGAAATAACAGAAAATCGCAATTTATTTTTTATTTTTAAATGAAAACCCTTTTTCTTATTGAAAATTTGAATTTCTGGTACATTTTTGTATAAGAAGCGTGTATTGAAAATTTTGTCAGTAACATATTAAAAAAAATATTTTCCAATATGATCATTTTGACAGCTGACAAAAAATTTTCAACACATGATTCTTATCCATAAATGTCCCTAAAATTCAAATGTTCAATAAAAACGGGGTTTTTATTTAAAAATTAAAAATAAATTGAGATTTTGTTATTTCTGATGAAACAGAAGTAAGCCAATTGAATCCAGTATATGAGAGTATTTGTCCCAAGCTTTTAAACAAATAAGTTTTCATTCCAGTATCTCAATTAATAACGAAGATAAAAGAGGATAGAATTATTAAACGGTTTGCTAATAATAAAAATGCTTAGATACGCTACTTGTATACGGTAAATAGGTCTCAATGGGAATTTTGAAACCTAAAAAGATTTTATAAAGTTCGTACATTCCTATATGTTTTTCCATAAACGAATGAATAGTAACATATTTAGAAAAAATATTATCCAATATGGCGACCATTTTGACAGCTGACAGAAAATTGTCAATACACGATTGTTATAGAAAAATGTCCCAGAAATTTAAATTTGCAATAAAAAAGGCTTTCCTTCTAACAATAAAAAAAAATCTGTTATTTTCGGAAAAATCGGAAGTAAGCCATGACGTCACAGAACAATTGAATCCATCATAAGAAAGTCTTTCAAACAGAACAAAATTAATCCAATATCTCACTGAATAGCGAAGCTAAGGGGGAGTGGAACTGTAGTAGTAACCCTAACAATGTCACTGACCTATTTGACAGAATTGATACTTAAGTCACAGTTTATAGCTAAAGAATCAGTTCGATCACTCTGCGTCGGCACTTTTGATCTCAATGTTCCAGTTTATACGCTGCGCAACTCGGATTTGTATCCCTGGCGCATACAAAATCAAATCATAACCAATACAATGTATGACAACCGCCTACTATATTCAAACAGCAGTCTTCTGCGCATCCTAAATTTGTATCCCTGGAGTGGATGTTATTTTGGAACATTCAACTGGTCCAAGCGAGCTAACTGATTCTTTAGCAATAAACTGTGCTTAAGTTGTCATAACAAGTCTCTAATAAATAAAACAATCCACCAAAACAGACAAAATAAAAGTATATGGATTTATAAAACAAGTGAAAAAATTAATATTATTATTATTATATATTTTTATTACTTCAGCTAAAAAAAGTAGTATAATCAATTAAAATCAATAATAAAACATAGGTAAGTATTTACGAGAAAATGTATGAGATCTTACCTAAGCCTAATAAGTTGTCATTGAAGAATAGGTTAAATTATGTCAAAATAAAAACACTACTATTATATAATAACGTAGAATTAAAACGTATTAACAAAAATAATTGGTATATTTGCGATTGTAATTTATATTTTCTTCATTTTTAGTTCGAAAGAACCCATAGAAATTAATGATTAAAACTGGTTTCCTATCAATAAGTCATAAGATTGCATTTCAGCCATATACAATAATTAAAGGCAGAAATCTAATCATTTGCTAAACATTTAAAACTTAAGGGATGTTGAAGAATATCATAAAATAATAATTTTTTCTTCTTAATATACAGCTGTCTATTTATTTTTTTGATTTAATTTCGATTTTGCTACTGAACATTTATATAATTTACAGTTCTTTTGCTAGTATAATTTGCAACATAGTAACTCCGGTTGTTCATTTTATTGTTTTTAACCTATTTTTTAGTAAAAAATAAAATGTATACATGTATTTGATACGCCAAAATTACAAAATATCGCCCTGAAGTACTCGAATTATCCGCAGCTTGTGCTAGTATCGCTTTTGCTTTCCCTACCATAACTTTGCACTGATCGAATAGATCGCAGCCATGTTTTAACATGCCTTAGCGTGCTAAACGTTCTTTCGATTAACTCTGTCGTTGGTGGAAGAGCCATAAATATTTTTTAAACCACTTTTTATGTCTGGATAAAATTCACAATGTTTGGATGCTATATCGTTAATGAAAATCTCATTGTGTGTAGAAAGCCCTTTCGTACTTCAGTTTGGTATTCAGCTTCAAAATTGTCGATTGCAAATTTTTCCACTACTTTCATTTTCTAATCGGTAGTGAAAAAAGTATTGTTTTTATGCTTTTGGGATGTAACAGGCTTAAGGAAAATTAACAGAGCCTTCGGAAAAGCGTGATGTAAGCGACGTAATAAGGGAATCCAGATATCGTCGGCCTAAGATGCAAATGGCCTAACTCCACTTTTTACCAAAGGTACGTTTTTTGGCTATCCGTTAGTTAAAGATCTGTACTGTCGATTCGAAATGGCCTGCCAAGCCTATTTTAAATATTCGCGCCAAAAATTACATGACTCATTTTGTAGGTATAACCCCTTTACATTAAGGTTAGGTCTAAAGGATTTTTTGCGTTTCCTGAAAAATTTATGTTTTAGGAGTTAAGCCATTTGCATATTAGACCGACGATATTCAATAAATATATTAAACCTATAATATTCTTCAACTATATTAGCCTTAATATTATTATTTCTATATGGG